GCGGCAATTGGCTATCACGTTTGCCTACACTCACACCACTTTACTATATACTGTGAAATGCTTTTGAAATGTCTGAATGATGTGATAAGGTGTTATATCAAAAGCAATGATTATTAGTATTATTATAAATAATAATAATGATAATCCTTGTATTTAATATAGCGTCTTACCATGTCATTGAGATCACCAAAAATATGAATCATTTATTATTATTATAATTATTTATTATTACAAATTATTACAAGCATTATAATTATAATACTCAATGGTTATCAATAATTATTGAAATGATTGCTTTTTTAATGATCAATAATTTATTATAATAATTAAAAGAAGACATTTCATTGATGTAACTTCCTGAGCCCCAGGCATGCATATTATGTGTAGGAAAGTGCTAGTACTGTTAGTTCAGTGCCTTGGGACATCCTCCCAACGTGAAAGCCGCTTTACAAATGTAATTTTGTTGTTAATGTCACTTTGTGAGCAGTGCGCTTGCATGGTATATACATGTTGGGAAGGATGTGATGTCACTAGTACTTCCCATAGAAAGCATAACAAACAGGAAGTTATGTTGGTGGCCACCCTATGTGCCGGAAATTGGATATTTTTTCATGGTTTCCTAATGACACGATCATGGAAATATTGGACCCAGACCAATATGCTATAATGAGGCTGCTTGTAGCAAGAATGATCGTTAAATCTTTTTCATACATATTTACCATTGAAAATCTTAAGGTGAAAATAGTGATTTTTTTAATATATGAGATGTGTTATTAAATCTGTTATTAAACTGTTATCCAACCCTCGATTTTTATGTCAGTTTTCTGTGAGTTCTTTTAACATCCCAATTTTCACTGAATTATTATAAATAATTATTGCAATGATTGCTATTTTTGATTATTAGTACAGGATAACACTCCACTGTGCGCTTGTTGCTTTATGAGTGTGTGTGCATGTGCAGACATTTTTCAGCCTGTGTCTGCATATACTGGACATTGAGACACTTTCAACCAGTATTGCTTTAAAATCATAGAGATGTTCTCAACGGATTGCATCAATTACGATCAAATTCTTCCACATGGATTTAATGCAGGTAGCAGCATGAGGACTGAAGAGAGAAAAATACCTACAATCTTCTCTGCCGCATCATCTTATACAGAGCATTTTTTCTTTATTGAACCTCTTACGGCAAGATACAGTGAATGCAGCTTAAACTTTCATGAGTTTTAGTGCCTTGGGACGTCCTTCCAACGTGAAGGGCGCTATATAAATGCAATTTGTTATTGTTGTTGATTTATTTTCCAGAATATTGCCAAGTGGGATTGCATACCAACTGCAGTTAAGATTTACAAGAGCTGAGCTTTGAAACATATCTGAAATTGTCCTCACATAAAGAAACACTTTCAATTCAGTGGAACCCAAATTTGGAGCAAACTTTCTTTACCAAAATGTATCTTTTAAGCAAGTTGCACTAATTTGAAACAGATTTAATGTTTGTGAAATTAAACCAACTTATCCTCAGGGCTGTACGAGTTCATCCAGTTCTGCATGCACAAAAGTGCCTGTGGTGCAATTATTCTATGCAACATTGGTTTCTCAACCTACATTAGAAGTTGAGATCTCACCTAATTACAATAAACACAGGCCAGCTATTGACTACAATATTCTTTAGTTTGGAACAAATTCTCTTGGCTGGATCTGACTGTTTGTGTAAATAGGGATTACTGATACCACAAAGATATCCTTTGAAGCACGGCGTGTGTGAATATCAAAGATCATAAAGTTTCCCACAGCTCACTCAGTGGTAAAATGAAACAACTTTCACAAAATGTAGTCTCCTGCAAGGTTCAGAACGCTAGAGGCTTTTTATAAGTAACAATTTCAGGCAGGAGTGGGCTGTTCATCCATCGAGGATGTCCCTCCAATCTCCTTCCAAAAATAAAATATAACAATAATCCTTGCATTTGATATAGTGCCTTATCACACTGTTGAAAAGCTTCAAAGTGCATTTCACATTTGGAAATTACTGCAAAGTATGACTGTGTATTCTGTAAGTGAATGCGGCAGTCAATTTAGGCAGATCAATGTTGCACAAAGAGCAATGGAGCAAATTATCAATTTTAGCTATGGTATTGCAGGGGGGAAATGGTCAGGGTGAGGGGAGGGAAGGGAGGGAGCGAGGAGGGGGTAGAGAGTCGAGAGGGGAGCTGAAGGCACGGTCAAAGAGAAAGGTCTTGAGACCGGCCTTGAAGGAGGAAAGGGAGGAGGCAAGGCAAAGGCACTGGGGGATAGAGTTCCAGAGCCTAGGGGCTGAGAGGCTGAAGGCCCGGCCACCGATGGTAGGGCGGTTGGGGCGGGGGATGTGGAGCAGACCGGAGCCAGAGGAACGGAGGGTACGAGCAGGTAAGTAGGGGATAGTAGGTCAGAGAGGTAGGAGGGAGCAAGGCCGTGAATGGCCTTGTAGGTGAGGATGAGGATCTTGAATTCGATCCTCTGGGGGATGGGGAGCCAGTGGAGGCGAGCGAGGGTGGGAGTGATGTGGTGACCTTCTGATTCAGAGGCAAGACCGCTATCAATGGAACCAGGCTGATAAGATTTCCTTTGATGGAATTGTCTCCTACAGATGTGAAAAGCATGATGTAAATACAAGTTGTTGAGATCTCTTACTGTAATATCCATAAATCATGTTTGTTTTCAATCACAAAAACTTATCTAGTTCCTTTTAAATACTTTTTTTGGATTCTTTCTTAGATTCCACCACCTATGCTGATAGTTTGTTCCACATGCCTAACATCATTTTTATAAAAAAAACTTTGCTGCCATACCTATTTACTTTCCTTCTTATTATAAAGCTAAGAATCCTTTTTCTTTAATTTTGCACACAACAAAGAAACTTACCTGAATCCAAATTTTCCAAACCTTCTACAATTTGAAAATTTCCCCTTTATCTTCTCTGTTCAAAAAGAAAATGTCCAGGGTAGCCAACCTCACCTCTGATTTTGAACTTCTAGAATTATTACAGTAACCTTCCCACCAACAGCCAAATAATCTTTGAGAAATGTGGAGATTATGTGATATGTGATGGATAAACTGGATGCATCTATACAGCCAAAGCCTGAGAATCATTTTGAATCAATATAATATAGATCATTTGCTTGTAATACTGAGTCTAGATCAAGGTATCCACATCCAATTTCAAAATCATCTTTCCATTTAAAATTTGCACCAATACTGATTGAACCTAACATTTTTTTTAATGATCTGGAGACATTGTATTGTCACTTTATGGACCTGTCCACTAAAACAACATCTGTCTCCTGCTAAAATACCTCAATCTGATTTTCATTGAATACATAATTCACATTGCCTGCTCTTCTGCCAATCTCAGAACTTTACATTTCTACAAAGTAAATTTAATTTACGACCTCCCTGCCACATTCTGCATGTTTCTGAAACAGAAGCCCCAAATTATTCATTTGCATTCTTTCGAACTCCATTCTAGCAAGCTGTGGCAACGACAGAAGGACAGATTCCAGTTATACCCCGAATCTGCACTTTAGAGTCCCTGTTAGGTTGACTTTGCCAAACTGTTCCTTTGTTTTATATAGGAGATCAAGAGGTGGTCTTTCTGGAGGGATTATGAACTGTAGAACTGGCAGGTTACGGCATGGAAAAAGCTCTCTCCTTAAAGCAATGATTAGTGCGGTTTGCAATGAACTTTTTTGTAATCCCTGCTGTTCACAGACGATTCAAAAAATGTTTTGTAGAGGAGCATTTCTTGTAATATTATAAAATGTGTTGATTATATCAAATTGTACAGGTAAATATATGGAGAAAAAAAATAACAGCTACCTCACAAAATCTAGTGATCTAGTGCACTAACTCAAACTTCTCTTCAAGACATTTCAAATCCATTTCATAGTGTTTTCCTTGAAATGGCAGAGATTGATTCAGTGAAAATGCAGCACTGCAATGTTTCAGGACATGGGATAGTTTCACTTTTGTAGCTTGAACGCTGTTTATCTACAGAGACACACTTGACTGTTAATCTTTGCTCTTCACCAGTGCAATTATACCAGGGTCCCATTTGGGAGGAAACATGAACTGACCTGGAAATCCAGTAACCAAATTGGACTTGGTTTGAGTTTATTTATGAACCTTGCACTCTGGTCAAATTCATTTTGGGTGTAGATATACCTGACAGTTGAAGTGAAAAGGTCAACCAACTCAGCGTAGATCAAGGATTGAACCTGGGATTTTCCACATTCTCTAAGATTCATAACACTGGCAATACTGGAATAGTGACTTATATGAAGCACCACAGTTCCAATAAAACATGCAACCAAGCTTGTGGCACTTGCATCTATCAGTCCTTATAGTAAACCACATCTCCTCTTTCAAAATGTACTTGGAGCTTTATTTTCATTATACAATGGTTCTTTGGTTCACAACTAAAACACCCATCCCATGTTATCTGAATAAAATCAATGAAGTGGATTATAGCTTGCAGAAAACTATGATCTGAATTGTCTGCTTTCACTAAAGACTTTGCTTCCAGTGTATAGTTGCAACATGTGTTACTGATTCCTCATAGCTAGTAATTTGTTGATTATTCAAGCTCTTTATAGTCACTTCAGAAGTTATTCAGGCAATTTCAATAGGATTCCTGCCATGCGTAATATTATGCATCTGTTTGCTATAACCCCAAGATTCTAATGTCTTTCATCAACAAAAATGCAGAAAGAATTGCAATTGGATAGTAAAGCAGTCATAGTTTACTGCATATTCAAATGAAAACATAAATCGTTATTGTCTTAGCTAAACATTGGTGAGCTCCAATATCCAACCCTGCTGATAAAGAATGTGTATGATAACAGTATTGATTCCTTACATTAAAAGGCTCAGTAATTTAGGGTCTTCCTGATGGATAATATACAGTTGCTGTAGTTTTTCAGTGACCCACTATCTCATCAGAGCTGACTGCCCCTGGATCCTCTTACCTTTTCCTCCTTTGGGGCACCGTTTTTTCTGGACAGTACACTTCCTTGTCTCACTGGTCTTCGGACATGGGTTCCCATGTGCTGAAGAGCGCTGCACAATCTCTCGGCTCCTCGACTCACTGCCTTTCCGGAAGCCGCATGTCTTCCCTCGCTTTGTGCAGGGGCTCCACAGACTCCACTCACTTACTTCACAGTGTACTGTAAATGGATAAACAACATTTTTCACATTTTCTTTTCCATTTGTGTATTCATGCAAGTAGACCAAGGTTTTGAGTGATAAATTATTTTTTTGCTAATGGCTGTTCAGCATTGTGGGGTGATCAGAAGTCCTGCAAAAATGCATGAACACTGTTTTTTCAACATAATAATAATAATCCTTGCATTTGATATAGCGCTTTTCATGTCAGGAGGACGTCCCAAAGCGCTTCACAGAACACACTGTAAAGTGAATTGACTGTATATTTGTGGGCGAACGCGGCAGCCAATTGTGCACAGCAATGTCCCACAAACAGTCGTAGATTGAAAATGACCAATTTATTATTGTTTTTGGTTTTGGAGGGATTATTATTAGGCGTGTGGAGTAAGGAAACTTGCCCAAAGTTTCGCCCTGCCTGGAATTGAACTCAGGTCTCTCACTTGGAAAGCGAGTGCTCTAACCACTGAGCTACAGGACTCCACGACATCCTGATACTAGGCTAACTTATTTTGTATCAAATCATTCTTGGTGATTTTTATACTTATAAAGATGAACAACGACAGCCATGGAAAATAGAACACTTTTCCCTTTGGCATCTGTTTTAGGATGAAATATTGGACGTGTCCAAATTCCACTTAATCTTAGCCTATAGTACCATTTAGTCCCAAAATTTAAGAACACCCCTCTCTCCTCAAAACAGCACCCGTTGCCTTAGTTCCTCCGGGTCTGGCCTCCTCCTTGTCCCCCGAGTCCTCCGCTCCACCCTCCACCCCAACAAAATTGATGCATTTTTTCAAGACTCAGCTGTGAATGGAACGTGTGTTATTTGGGGGAAAACAGATTAGTTCCATTTTCAGATCTCTCTTTAAGAAGTGACACTGTAAAACTTTTTTGGGTGGAATTGTGCTATTTTAGTCTAAGAACACACTCATTGAAAGACTAGGTCATTTGATCTTAATTAAAGTCTCATTTCCAAACATCCTGAATTTGGCAAATTCTTAAATGTAACCTCAATTTCGAAGCTATTTTACTGTAAGTTTGCTTAAGAAACTATGTGAAACAGGCTTTAACGTTAAGACGGAATTCAACAATTTGCCAAATTCTGGACACTCTAAAACGCTTCATAAATCAAGTAAATTTATCCCAGCTGTGAGAAATGAACAGAAAGATTTAAATTTCAAAAACTATGAAATAAAATGAAAAGAGAATATATAATAATCTTTGTATTAGGTGTCCGCCTGGCTCAATTGGTAGCACTCTCACTTCTCTAGTCAGAAGGTTGTGAGTTCAAGCCCCACAATAGCTTTTTTCAATTGAGTGCTATTGGGGTCCTGCATTATTGGCGGTGCCGTCCTCACATTAGACATTTAACTGGGGTTCTTTCTGCTCATTTAGGTGGATGTTAAAGACCCATTTTGCTATCCAAAAAGTGAAGGGACTTCCCCTGGTGTTTTGGCCAACAATCCTCCAGATAAAATTGCTCATTTATTTCATGTCCCACAAACAGCTATGAAGTGAATGACCAATTTTATTTGGAGGATTGTTGGCCAGGATAATGGGAGAAACGCTCTCCTCTTTTTGAATAGTGTGATTAAATTGTTTACATCCATCTAAGATGACAGATAGGATCTTTTTAAATAATTGTAGAAAGCAGGACATTGTTAGCAGAACTAAAGCATTTTGAATGTTTTGTTTTTATTTTGTAGCTCAGGATTAATAGTAATTATGAAACTTGAGCAGCTTTCTTACAATTAATAGTACTGTTGCTTTCAGTGGTCTGCTTTGTAAACTGAAACCTGAAGGCTAATTGTCCTTGGCTCAAGAAGACTGGATATTTTGTCTACTTTCAGTAGTTAAGAGATTAAAACAATTAAGTAGAGATGATCTGATAATCTTAATGGGACCAGACTCTAATATGTTGCAACACATTCACTTCTCCACCCATGGTAACCTTTCATGTCCAGAAAATGTCTCAAAGCACTTCACAGAATTTACTGTAAAGTGTAGTGTATTTTGAAGGCAAAGATGGCAGCCAATTTGCACACAACCACGTCCCACACACAGCCATTAAGTGAATAACGATATTAAATCTGGGGGATTGTTGGTTAGGACAATGGGAGAAACTCCCTTCTTTTTTTGAATTGTGCCATAGGATCTTCAATGTCCACCTGAACAGGCAGATGGGAACTCAATTTAAATTCTCATCTCTCACAATACAGCATTGCGTAGGAGCTTCAACCATGACTACGTGAATTCAAAGTCCCAACATGGGGATTAATGCACAGCCTTCTGCATCAGCGGCAAGAGTGCTACCGGCTGACATCTGATTAATACTGTACCATGGTTGATAATATATCACATTGGTATGCTACATTTTTCACCCCGATATCAGCTGGATATTTTTCTTTGCCGTTTATTTTTCTCTGGCTTGCAACTCTCTTTCTCTCCCTCAATATAGTTTATGTGTTCTTTTATTTTGTTTGGTCAGCTAGGTGTTGCATGAGCAGAAACAATCATCATGCTTAAGAGTATCCAAACCAAACTATTGAGACTTGCTCGTATGTATGGTTACTGTTTATGTGCCCTTTTAGTTGTTTATTATTGTAACACAAGAAAATCTGCTTTCTATTTCATGAATGCTTTCCTCAGTTTTTAAAATATTTTTATAATGGGATCACATGGAATCCTATAAAGTGATTCGAGACATTTTCCTGACATGAAAGGTTAATGTTGGTGGAGAAAAGAATGTGTTCAGCAGCTTTTCATGTGAGGCTGCTGAAATGCTCGTCCATGCCTTTGTCACCTCCCGCCTCGACTACACAAACACCCTCCTCGCTAGTCTCCCTTGCTCCACTATTCACAAAATTCACTATTCAGAAAACTCAGCCGCCTGCATTCTCACCCGCACTAAACATGTACCTCCCAGTCCTTGTCAAACTCCATTGGCTGTCTGACACAAGCGGATCGATTTCAAGATCCTCACCCTTGTATCTAAATTCCTTCACAACCTGATACCCACCTATGTCCAACCTGCTCTCTCCTTACTCTACTACCTGCTGCCTCCACTTGACTGGCTCCAGCCTTCTCCTTGTCCCCTGGTCCCTCCGCTCCACCAACGGCGGCCGTGCTTTCAGCCACTACACCTCGAAGCTGTGGGACTCTCTCCCTCAATTCCTTCACCTTGCCCCCTCTCTCCTCATTTTCAGGTCGCTCTTGGAAGACCTTCCTTTTCATCTGTGCCTAAAGTCATCTTCCCCCTCCCACTGGCTCGGAATCGAGCTCAGCCCCTGCTAAGCACTCTGAGATGCCCCCGGAGTGAAGGGTGCTATATAAATGCAAGTTGTTGTTGTTGTTGAATATCACGTCACACCATGCTCGGTCCACAGACTGTAAACTGTATGCATCACTGTGAGAGGGTGGGAGAAGCAAACTGGAATATTGTTGTGTCAATTTAAACCTGTAATTTTTCAACACCATTCAATTCATCATTCTCTCATATGATGAGCAGGACTGCTTACCGGCAGTAGCACACTCCATTGTCTGATTATTAGGAGTAAACCCTTCAGGGCAGATGTCAAAACACCTTCCTTTATGCAAATAGAATCCCGCTTTGCATTTTGTACAGAAATTTTTGTTGAAGCAGGTATCACAGTTGTCTGCTCTGCATCCTGAAACAGATATTATTATAAAAATGGGTTATATCTTGTGCAGTGGTAAGCAAGTTTCAGGTGACATTCAATTTAAATTTAATGAACAACAGTGTTTCTTTCTGTGTTATTGATAGGCTAAATTAAAAACATTGCTAATCTCAACTAGGGGGTAGCAGGTGGGAGGGGGGGGGGGGTGCATAAAATGAGGGAGGGGGGAAACTAGTCACGGTTTCAGCCTCTATCCCTATCGAGAAACCCCGGTTGGATTTGCATGTGAGGTTGGGATGCCCCTAGCAATTAAATAACCAGGCATATGTGGGAGCTACTGGAAGATGATCAGTTCCCATAAAACAAGAGCCAAGGAGAAGTGAGGACTTCGATATCTTCAGGAATGAAAGAGCCAATTTGAGAGAACTGTAGGACAAAATATTAGCGCATAGAGAAAATAAAAGTACTGCATTGCAGGAGTCCTGTGACTCAGTGGTTAGAGCCCTCGGCCCTCACAAGCAAGAGACCTGAGTTAGATTCCCGGCAGGGTGAATCCATGGGTAAGTTTCCTTACTCTATATGCCTGATAATAATTCCTCAAGAAAATAACCCAATAATAAAATTGGTCACTTCAATCCACGACTGTTTGTGGAACAATGCTGTGCGCAATTGACGCAATACAGTCAATTCACTTTGCAGTATATTGTGTGAAGCACTTTGAGATATCTAGAAGACGTGAAAAGCTCTATATCAAATGCAAAGATTATTATTATTATGATTGCAAATGGATATGTCTTAGTGTACAGCCCTGAAGGTCTTCAATCTCATGTGTAATAGTGAGATTGCGCAATGGCTATGTGTAAGTGTGTAAAAGGCCAGGAATTCCTTGCTCTCCTTAATTTACAGAAAGTTATTGCAATTTACTAACATCTCATTTTATGAGATCATCATATTCTAACATTGTTCAGTATCTGCCAATAATATTAAACGGTGTGATTGGTAGCGCCCTTTAAACTTAAACCTCTCAAAATATACAAAGTAACCACAAAGAAAACAAACAATCTTAGAAGCTGAAAGAGATTTGGAATGAGAAATCAACAACTCCCCAGTGTTTGGAAAGCAATGCTGCAAAATTGTGACATTTTGGCACCAGGTCCTGAAATAGATGAGAATGGATTACAAACTGAAACATATAGAACGTAGAGCTCAAAATGGTAAGTCCAACCTTTACAAGATAGGCAGACTGCCTAAAACTGTAGTTCAGAGTCTATAACAAAAGTTAAACTGAATCAGGGTGCAGAGGCAAGATGTCTTGTATCGAAAAGACTACAAGCTTCACAGTGAAGTGGATCTTGTCAGCTGTGGTTTGCTCATGATGACCAGCAAGCTGGAGTCAAACACAATAGTAAAAAACAACTTTATAACTAACAAATGTTTGTGGGATTTCACCCAAATGGAAGCTGGAGCTGTATGTTCTGGCATTGAATAATATATTAGTGAAACAACATCGGCCTCATTGCCAGAAGTACAAAGTTTTTGAACTTGAGTTGCAGGGACAGAAAGCAGGATTCAATGCTTCCATGGGGATATTCAAATAAGATGATATTAGCATTAGGTGTAATTTCATTTTGTTTAATGGATTTTTTTTCTCTTGTGTTGAACATATTAGCGAAAACGTCAGGGTGTTAAAACACAGATTTTCAGTTCTATCTTTAACAATACTGCACAGCATCTACTAGACAGAGAACAAGCTCATTATTAACTGCAAATTTCATGACAATTTTATTTATCCTTCAGTGTATCCATCCTCTTGAGGAACAGCACAGAGTGCTCACACTGCTCCTGCTCATAACAAAGAAACATGATCTATTCCCATATGATTAAAATAAATAGTTTATTTAAAAAACACAAGCCAAGGAGTAATTTCAATATGGTAAGCCATTCTTGGGCGTTTAGAGGCCAGTAATAATTCACTTGAATTTTTCTCACTCGTCGGGTTTACACTACACATTTGGTAGTGAATCCCTATGAGTTCATCATCAGTTCACCACCAATTCAGAACTTAAATAGGAATCAAATAGCACAAATCCCATTGTGGCCCACCTCCAAGCATTCCCCAGAGGGAAGTTTTTGCAGGCACACACTGTAAACACAGCAGGTGCAGAGAGCAATACAGTACATATTTATATTTATATAGCACTTTTCACGTTAGGAGGATGACTCAAGGACTGAACAATCCTGGATTGCTTGTTTATCCATGTTCCTTTCAAAGTTTTAGGGACATACAAACATGTTTTATTAAATAACTGATTCTCTTTAAAGAAATAATTATCTTATTGAAGAACTGACTCTTCATTAAAGTTAGAAACCAAACCCTCAGTTTTAGTGTTCTGTTTACGCATCAAGGCACATTTCGATAGAATGGCATAATCATGGGTGTGNTTTTTTTCTGGCACAATTGAGAGCAGTGTGGAAGAGTCATTGTGGATCTGGCTTTCCACTGCTGGAAGTGAAGAGCTTTGCTCTGAGCATTATTATGGCAGCTGTCATTTTAAAATATAACTTGAATGCCAGAGCACTTTGCATACAATTTTTCAAACCAAAAAATAGTTCAATGAGTACATAAGGCAATAAGAACCCAAACCTCAGATAGCTATCTCTAGTACCCTTTTGGGACTATGCAATGTGAATCACCACTGAAGTTAGGTTATAGCTCCTCCACTGGCCAATACCAATAAATGCAGATATTGAGCCAAGTACATATCTGAGAGGCTCAAATTTCTCAACATTTTAAATTGAGCAGAATTTTTAAAAATTCTTTAGTTTAACCTTAATTTTTAAGTTGTCTTCCACAATTTATTTCAAGACTGAATGTATTTATTTTCCCAAATTTCACATAATCTTAAACTTGAAAACAAAGATGCTAAGACTATTTTCAAATCTCAGATTAATCCCAGTAGAATTACTATTAAGAAAATTCATTGCAGTACTTCTGAAGTAAATACTGACAAATTAACTCTCAATTATCAAAATAATAATGCATTTTGGGGGATCATGATAAATATTGTCATTGCAATGAGGTGTCAAAACTTTACAAAACCATATTACACAGGTATCATCTTGGCTGTTGGGAGCACTTTTGCCTCTGAGTCAGATGGTTGTGAGTTCACAACCTTTTGGGTTCAGAATGTCTTGCTTGACCCTCAACTGTTCTTTCTATCCCACATCCATGCCATGACCCACTCTGCCTTGCCCCACATCTGCAACATCGTCCGGCTCCGCCACTGGCTCTCCCCTCACCCATGCATTTATTACATCTAGGCTCTACTGCTTGTTGGTCTTCCCATCTCTTCCCTCTACAAGCTGCAGATCATCCAGAACTCCATGACCCCCATCACCCATACCCTCATCCGGCTCCACTGGCTCACCATCCCCCAGAGGATAGAGTTCAAAATTCTCATCCTTATCATCAAAGCTTTCCATGGCCTTGCTCCTTCCTAACTTTGTGACCTGCTAACACAGGCCTTTGGTTGAGATATTAAATTCACATCCTGTATGCTTGTCCAGGTGGATGTTAAAGATCCTGTGGCACTAATTGATAAGAGAAGAGAGTTTCTGGCAGTGCTGTGGCAAACAATCACCCAGATAAAATTCAGTTTTTAGCTATTTGTACGACAGTGCTGCTATGTTCATCTACAAAATATACAAGCACATTTTGCAGCAAAATCCTGTGAAGTGTTTTGAGATGTCCTCTGATGTAAAAAGTGCTAAATCAAATGCAAGGATTATTAAATAATATTTGCATTGTGGCTTCTACAATGAAACAGCAAATGTATTAACTTTAGAGTCCACAAAATTGCCATCCAGTCAGCTATATGAAGTGCTTTGACCTCATGATGTGATAGCTGCCTCACAAATGACAATTGTTGATGAGTTAGCTAATCTCAGTGAAGGTGATACTACAGTTTGAATATACTGCTGATGCATGTTATCAACGCTTATAGGTGATGAAGACACATTGGGGAAAGATACCAGAGGGAACCTGGGGCTCATGGAATTAATGTCCAGTTAAAGAAAAAAGGACAAAACTAAAAATAGTCCTGAGCCCTATTCAACTGTTGCACTTAACTCCCTTATCTGATAGATCGATCATATTTATTATTATTTTTCACAAGACTCAAATCAGTGCCAGATTAGTACAGATGGCTTTTGAAAATAAAAATTTGCACTGTACAATGGTGGCTTGAGCAAAGGCATTACACTGTTTTTAACACTTACTTGTGCATTTGTTCATTTCTCGTGTTCGGATTCCATAGTATCCACTTGGGCAGGAGGAGAGACAGACACCAGTCTGCCTCATCCCATTCCTCTCCAAAAAGAAGAAGAGTCTGGGTTTACATGACAGGCATCCATTGTACTCAGAACATCGATCACACCCGTTAGGACAACCTTGTCCCACATTTGTGTTCGCTGTAAGGAAAACAATAACAATTATTAGATTGGCTATTAACACTGCATTTAGTATTATAATGTCAGACATATGTTCAAACATCAAACAAATAACAGAAGTCACTGGGAACACTCAGCAGGTCAGGCAGCATCTATGGAGAAAGGAAAGTGAGTCAACGTTTCGGTTCCATGACCCTTCGTCAGAACTGGGGCATGTTGGGAGGTGGAGGCTTTTAAGGGCTAACAGAGAGGTGGGAGGCAGAACAAGAAAGACAAAGGAGAAAATGGGGTAGAGGGCAGGGGATGATTCCTCCCAACATGCCCCAGTTCTGATGAAGGGTCGTGGACTTGAAACATTGACTCTCTTTCCTTTCTCCATAGATGCTGCCTGACCTGCTGAGTGTTCCCAGCAATTTCTGGTTTTGTTTCAGATTTCCAGCAGCTGCAGTATTTTGTGTTTTGTTTAACAAATAAATACGTTGTTTGTAGTTAGACATCACAGAATACAACAACAAAAGTACATTGCTCTGAACAGTCAGGGATCAGGACCCAAGCATGGGTGGCAGAGTTGGGATGAGGGAGGGCAGAGGGGGTAGGAGGGCGGCTGAAGGCACGGTCAAAAAGGAGGGTCTTGAGTCGTGCCTTGAAGGAGGCAAGAGATGGAGCAAGGTGAAGGGATTGTGGGATGGAGTTCCAAAGAGTGGTGGCAGAGAGGCTGGAAGCCCGGCCGCCGATGTTAGGGTGGGTCAGCGGGACACCTGGAGCAGGCTGGAGCCTCCTGAGCAGAGGGAGCGGACAGGTTGATAGGGGGTCAGCAGGTCAGAGATGTAGGAGGGGGCAAGGCCATGGAGCAACAACAACAAATTACATTTGTATAGTGTCTTTCACATCAGGAGGACATCCCAAGGCGCTGGACAGTCAGGGATCCACACCAGAGATGGTGGTTGCAATAAGAAGGGGTGGAGGGCGAGGAGGATAGCTGTAGGAGGGTAACCAAAGGCATAGTCAAGGAGGAGGGTCTTGAGACGGGTCTTGAAGGAGACAAGGGACAGGGCGAGATGGAGGGACTTTGGGATTGAATTCCAGAGGGTGGGGGCAGAGAAGCTGAAGGCCTGCCCGCCAATGGTGGGACTGGCAAGGTGCAGTCGTGAAGCAGGCTGCAGCCTGCTGAGCAGAGGGAGCGGACAAGTTGGTAGAGGGTTAGGAAATCACAAAGGTAGGGAGGAGCAAGGCCGTGGAGGACTTTGAAGGTAAGGACCAGGATCTTGAATTGTCCTCTGTGTGATGGGGTGCCAGGGGAGCTGGGCGAGGATACGGGTGATAGGGTCACGGAGCCTGGTGTGGGAGAAGGCACTGGCTGCAGAGTTCTGGATGATCTGTAGCCTGTGGATGGAGGAGTTGGGGAGGCTGACAGTTTGCGTAGTCAAGCCTGGATGTGATGAATGTATGGATGAGTGTCTCGGTGGCCTGGGGTGAGAGACAGTGGCGGAGCCAGGGAATTTTGCGGAGGTCGGGAAAGGTGGAGCGGGTCATGGCACGGATGTGGGTGATGAAGGACAGTTGAGGGTCGATCAGGACCCCGAGGTTCCGTATTGGTTCCATGAGGTGTAGAGTGCATCCATGAAGGGTGATGCTGTCAGTGCCTGAGATATGCAGATACTGACGCGTGCCAAGCAAAAGGGCCTCAGTCTTATTGACATTCAACTGGAGAACGTTAGCTCCCATCCAGGGCTTGATATCCAACCGGGAGTCTATGAGGACAGCAAATGTGTCTAAATTGCATAAAATAAAACCATGTAAATTTGTTTTGTCTTTTGTCTTTGGCACATTTGGTAAATAATATATAATTTACCTGAGATTGGGTTCTCTTTACTTTTGATTCCTTTTAACTCATAAAGGATTTCACTATACTACAACTTACAGCAAGATTGTGTCTATCTAGAAACGCTTATGAGTGACTGTATTGACAGGGTGTATATCACCATCACAGTCACTCCACTTAATCAATAAAATATAATGTAGTAACAACAACTCATTGTAAAGATCAAATAAAATTCCAGAGAAGCCGTCATGTTACAACTGAGAGCTCAATGCAACAGAAAAGATTTAGCTATTCTGTCTCCTTCTGGCGTAAGATGTTAGTGCACTGGACGCTGGACTGGAAGACTTATGTTTGAAATACAAGTTTGTCAGACATTCATCAGATGGTGAACAGCCAGTTTCATCAGTCATGAAGAACAGGCAGGATAACTAGATGATGGAAGGGGGGAGAAACTAGAAGTGGTTTCATAACAGATTGGACATCAGCACCCTTTTGTCTGGTCATAAAGATATATTGAAAGATTGTGGACAGGCTTTCCTCTGCAAAACAGTATGCATTGGTCTGAGGAAAATAAAAGGAGAAAAGAGGCAATGATTGCTTTAAAGAGAAGGGGGACCAAATATTGTAAGAATTAGACCAAATTCCGCTTTGTGTTAAAATTAAAATTGTGCAGAATTGTGGAAATTACGTATATTAAGTCTTTAGTTGGAAGCTGGTTCATTTTAAGAATTGCATAAAACTGGCTTCCTAATTGAGACTGAATTTTCCACTTCTTTGTGCAAATTCAAATGTCAAGACAAAATGATCCTTCAGTCTGAGGCTAGGTGGAATTTAATCCTCAGGTATTCAAGGGGATTTGTTTTGGTCAACCAGGTGTCTGACACATGGTGGATGGATGGATGTCTGATAGAAGGCCCCCATGAACCACTAAAATAATTCTTTATTCAACAATACGTTCTTTTAGAAATCTGATACCACTGTATTGGGTAAGATGCAATCTGATTACCAATGAATGGAGTGTTTATTTTGTAAATTAACCCAATATAAATGATGGGGTTATTGATTAGGTGAGGGAAGATGCTCTCCTTGACTCTGCCTTTCAGTTACACACTCCAAATCTACAAATTTGAATGTAATTATTTTAGAAATAAATATGCATGTATACAATTCTTCTACGAGATATTAAACATTTTCAAAGAAATAGTAAGTGCATGCTTTAAATTTTGAAAGGTCTACAAAGTTGAGGATTTTTTCTGCAAAGCTTTCTTTGTGTAAAACATAATTTGTGACAATGTGGAACGAACAATAGCAATATTCGTTACATTTGATATTGCGCCTTTCACATTGGGAAGCCATCTCAAACAGATTTACAGGATTTACTGTAAAGTGTAGTGACTGTGTATTTTGTAGGCAAAGGTCATAGTCAATCTGTGTACAGCATTGTCCCACAAACTTATAACAATGATTATAATAATTATTATAATAATGTTTAATAATAATGATTATTGATTATAATAATAATGATTATCGTGTAGCATATTGGTTAGAACACTCGCCTCGCAAGCAAGAGGACCTGGGTTCGATTCATGGGCAGGGGGAAATGTTAGTCAAGTTTCCTTGCTCCACCCGCCTTTGTTTACCAAGCAGTAAGTAGGAATCCAGTTGTTAGTCGAATAGTGGATCACTTTTCCGGGGATAATAATCCCTTAAAAAAATAATAATAACTTGGTCACTCAATTCACGACTGTTTGTAGGACAAGGCTGTGTGCAATTGGCTGCTGTGTTTCACCCACAAAATATATAGTCGATTTATTTTACAGTATATTTTGAGACTTCTTGAAGACGTGATAAGGTGCTACATCAAATGCAAGGATTATTATTATTAACTGAATGACTGACTTTACTGGCGTTTATTAGCCAGGCCACAGGGAAAAACTCCCTTCTCTTTTTGAATAGAGCCACAGGATCTTTGGCATCCACCTGAACAGGCAGATGGGAACTCAGTTTAACAGTACCTTCACAAAGCAGCGCACCTCAATATTATAATTAAATATATGAGTTTAAAGTCCCATCATGGGAACTCACCATTTTCTGTTAGGTGAGAATGCTACCAAATGGGCCTGGGTGACACCAATAATTTTAATAATGGTAATAATCCTTACAATTGATATAGCGTCTTATCAAGATGTCAAGATCTCTCAAATGTTTCACAGGATTTTACTGTGACTATAGTATATTATCTGATAAACCAAGATCTATCTTTATGACTCATGCAGCTATAATATTTCATTTAATATCTAGATACAAATGTACAGTTTATATTGGGGAATATTGCATTGACAAAGGTTTAGTCCTTTGAATGCAATGTTAAGTACGGAGGTCCCGGCTACCTATTCTAACAGACAGTAAAGATACCATGGCACTAATCAAAAAGAGAACTGAGTTTCTCTCCTTGTCCTGGTCAACAATCCCCTCGATAAAATAGGTCATTCATTTCTTGGCTGATTGAGGGTCATTGTTGTGCTCAAATGGACTGCCATGTTCACCTACGCCTATATATTCACTGCACTTCACAGCAAATCCTGTGAAGTGCTTTGAAATGTCCTCCTGGCATGAAAGGTTGAGAAATGCAAACATTTCAAATGCAAGTATTATTATTTTTACCATCATCGTTATTATTATTACAAACATCCATGCAGGCTTTAGCTAATATTTAAAACTATCATGTATTAAATCTGAAGCTATGTGGAATTACTGTGGGTTATGGGTAAATGTACCTGATGAAGTGATAGGAACTTTTCCTACTGCATAGATAAAGGGCTCAAATAAATGTTTTTGTCATTGTGACCCAATTTCCAGTATTCATGCATGTGTTCCATGGAGTTCTTAGGCAAGAGGCAGTTGAGTTATACTAATAATCCTTACGTTTGATATAGTTCATTTTCACATTGAAAGATCATCTCAAAGTGCTTCATGGGATTTTCTCGAATGGAGTCTCAAAGTAAAGTGGTTAGCATGCTCGTCTCACAAAAGAGAGGACCCAGGTTTGATTCCCAGTTGGGACGAAAGCTTGGGCAAGTTTCCTTACTCCACGTCCTTACACTAAGTAAGAACCTGGTTGTTAGTTGATTGGTGGATTGCCTTTCCGGGGGTAATAATTCCTCTTTGTCAGACATTGCTGTGCGCAATTGGTTGTTGC